ATCGATTTTGTACGGATGTAATTTAGACATAGCATCACTGGTGAGATAGTGGTGTTCGACGTGTTTTGAGCAGCATCGAGTTCCAAGTGGTATAACGATATTTTTAACAAAAAAAACACGCTCTCGTCCGCTCTCAGATATTGTCACAGAGGGCGCAGCTATTTCTTCTCGACAAATACAGCACATCCTAAATACCATGAGATTCAACATAAACAATGAAACGCCATCTCGCTTTTCACTACAGTTTAACATACCTATGGGATGTAACTGAAACGTTCATTGATAAATCAACGAAAGGAATAAGTAGCGCTTCTGGACGACTTTGTAACTCTGTATACTCCGATTTTGGAATATATACATAAGGAAAGAACATAAAATCGGACTCATGAGGCAATGTTTGTGGTAATGGCGGAAAATCAATCTTCATTTCGAGATCATGATTGTCATCCTATACAATATCACATAAGTGAAGAAAATGATACTCAGTATTTATATAAAACCGACTTACCTTTCCTTGTTCTTCTTCATTTTTCTCACTATTACTGTCAACATATTCGATCACATGAGTATATTCGGGATATGAATGTTTCCATTTGGAGAACAATAAACTACATCCATTGCAAATACGACCACCAGAAGGCACGTGTTGTGGAAAAACTCGAATAGATAAAAAAAGTTGTAACCATGGTGTATTCATTGGCCGGTGTTGATTCCTTTCCAGACGATTGGTACAGCAGAGGCAGATCTCGTGATTATTTACGTTCATTATGAATAGAGATTTAGTACTTTAAAGTATTCGCATAAAGTATATATTGAGTGACTTAGTCTATCACTAAACTGCTATTAATACTTTTAAATTCTTTTCGTTTCTTATTATTCTTCTGTTCTTACAACTACAATCTTACTAATCCGAGCACGTGAACGTTTTCAGTACAACCAACTAAATAATACTGAACATTACATTTTCTAAGGAACGCCACCGAATTTCCATACAACAATTCAGTCTTTCTAGGTCATGTAAAAACTGAAAAGAAAACACATGCACTGACTAGGAATAGAACCCATGACGCTTATTCTCACGACAAATAGTTAAATATTTTACCACTTGCTATTAAGTGGTTTATTTTTAGATAGAAAATGAACTTGAAAACACCGAAAAAGCCGTTTAAAACACTCTTTTTTTTGTATTTGAACTTGGTTTTATTAAAACATAATAATGAATAACAATCTTTTTTTCTTCCTGGTTATAATAGGCATATTTTATCACTCTATACGCTTTGCATTTAATTCCAAAGCGTATATGTATGCTCTGCGGTCAGTTACAAAGCGTATATGTACGTTTTCTGGCAGATTCTCATTAGAAACTTGCTTCATCATTTTCTAATGGATTCACTGGGCTAGGATACAGTGAGCGCAAAGGCTAGGATATTTAACGCGCGAGTTTGTGTTTAACCTTTGATTTTTCATTATTGACTAAAGAAAATCAGTGTCGTTGCTCTTATGTACCCTACTGTTTTTGTATGAGGTACCTTTTAAAAGAAATATACGCGTCTCACTAATAAATTTAGCATGTTTTCAAGAAAAATTTTATTTGGCGATAAAACGCAAAATTTTTACTAATTTTGGACTAGTACAAAATTTTGTAAATATTTGGTTCCCATGTAGAAATTTTTTCTGCGTTAAACATCAGAATAACGCAGAAAAGAGCGACTTGCGTACAAAATTTTGCAAAAAGATCAACTAATACAAAATTCTGTCGATAAGTTTTTTGTTAATTTTTTGCAAAATTTTGTTTTTGAGAAAACCATGACATTTTTATTGTGGATTTTTGCAAAACCTAAAATTTTGCAAAATTATGCAACTAAATATCTACAAAATTTTGTTTTTGCAAAAAACGGTGACATTTTTATTGTTGATTTTTTGCAAAACACAAAATTTTGCAAAAAATGACAAAAAAATTATCAACAAAATTCTGTATTAGTGGACCTTTTTGCAAAATTTTGTACGCAAGTCGCACTTTTCTGCGTTATTTTACTGTTTAACGCAGAAATGTGCTGAAAAATTTCTACATGGGAATATTAGTATAACATGAAGGAATTAAAAGGCAAAATGTTATTGAATAATGATATTTTACTTCTCTCACTTTTTAATCGGATTTTTTTCAAGCGTTGTGCATGCAACACTCATTCATGATGATATATGTTGTTTCAATTCGTAAGAAACTGATCTTGCTGTTTTGCCATGACTAATCAGAAGAAACGATGGTATACTAGGGAGATGTAATAATGATAAGTTACAAAACAATTATATGCTGGTCGTCATAAGAAGTTTAAATATTTCATTTAGATAGAAACAATGATGTGGAAGTAAAAATTGTCCTGGAAAAATAGAATATGACGATATTGGCACATTATTACGACTTTTTTCGGAAAATTTAAAATTTTGTTCTTCCGTTCTTTGACGTCACTTTTGTTGACATAATTTCTCATACAATTTTATCATGTGGAGAAAAACCAAGAGGACTTGCATGAAGTAAATCCAACTGAAAGTAAACTTCTTTTAGCCACCAAATGTGCATTTTCGTAACAGACCCAAAATAAAGAACTTTTAGTATAACTTTAAAATGTTTGCTCTGCATCTTTCTCTCATATTGATAGTAGTGGTTATCGATTACCGATAACTTTTGATTATGATTTTTACTGACTCATTCACATGACTGACATATCTCTCTTCTATTTTTCATCTGTCATTTCTTTTTCTCTTCTTTCTTATTCTTATACAAGCTTTTACTCATGCAACGAAAAAAACAAAATAGAACAAGAACAAATGATAAGAAATTTTTCAGAGAATTTCTATGGGGTGGTGAAACTCATCCACTGGGAATTTTCCAACTATAAGAAACGTATATAATAAAGTGCTTATTATTAACTGGAATTGCAGTCAAGTTTAGTACATATAGATCTCTGATTATTCTGATACATGTACAACGAATTATAGTAAGTCTTTAATCTTAACGTTTCATTCGATACTTCAAATAGATGATGGGTGCCTGTGCAGTCAAAACACTGTGAAGCACAGATGAGAAGATGTTCAAGTAAATATCTCTTAAAACCGCTGAAAACAAGTCGTTGGTTATTGGTCAGTTCTCTTTCTGTCAACAAAATGACGTATATCAATAAGTGCTCTACTATTTCACTTGAATTCTGAATACGCTCAGTTGAAAAATATGCTACTCTTTACAAGAATATGCAGATATTTCTAATCGTGATCAAGTTCGCCACACGTATCATACATTTTGAAGAACATTTCGTCGTTTAAATGTTCATGCGTGCTGGAAGCTTCTAGCGCACGAAGTTATGTTTCGTCCTTGGCACAAACGTAACGACGTTTTCCCTTCCACCTATAATATATCTTGATACTCAATTTATCTGTCCGGTGTTATATTTGCTTTAGAAAAAATTTACGTAATTCTTCTAACTATTCTCTGACTCCATCACTTGGCAACGCTGAAAAAGCAAAGGCAAGAAAGAATGAGTTTAACAGACTAAGTGTACGAGCAATAAGCTTACGTAACATTGAAGATTTTAATTCACTGTAGGCATCCGTAAGTTCTGAATGCTCACTCAGAAGTTTCACATGTTCAACAAATAACGAATTATATTTCTCTTTCATTTGTCTTGTTGCAAGATTAGTAATCACTTGCTCTTGTTTTACGTATTGAACCAATAATGTATTTTGATAGATAGCATTTCAGAACGTTCAGTTAAATGTGCGATTGTTGTTTCAATTAGTTCAAACATATTCTTCATGTTTTCTTGTTCATCTAAATCTATGACCATTGATGCAATTTTTGATGCGATAAATTTCACTATTTGTAAAGTTGTTTTGACTGCTGGTAATGTTTCTTCAACAACCGTGTATACATTCTTAATCATTTCATCCTGAGTTTTCGTTTGAATATTATTCAAAACCACCAGAGCTTTATATTTGTTCATTTGATCAATGTACTTTATCTTCATTTCATTTTCTTTCCTTTCGTGTTCCAATTTCATTTTTTCAAAATCACTTTGTAGATGTTTTATTACATCCCAAATCGATTCATTTATTTCTGTTGAACCCATTGTTTTTGTTTGATTCGAATTTACCAGCGGCCACGCATTATATTCGTTTCGTTTATACATAATCTGCTGTTGAGAATGTTGTTGTTGAAAATTGTTGATCAGTGTTGGATTACAGAGAGCTTTTGCCTTCATTTCATCCTGATGTCGACACTCTGAGGATATGAACAGCTAACTGTGAGGAGGCTACGAATCAACTCGGTTTCTCAATTCCATTACGAGTTGTTTACGATACGTTACAATTCGTGGACATTTATAATCAGTCGACTGATGATCATCACTCATACAATGATGGCATTTTATTACACACTCTTTATGATCGTTCCCGTTTTATTTGTCTCCTCCACATCGACGACAAATTTCATTTTGACTTTGACAATTCTTCTTAGTATGCCCCGGATAGTTACATTTTGAACAAATTAAAAGTCGCGGAGCTTTCAAATATTCGTTGACGTCATGCAGTAATTCTTGAAGTGAGATTTCTCTAGCATTCAATAATTTTTCACATTCTTCTTTTGATGTTAAATCAATTCGAAAATGACGGGTACGATCTCTACTACTGCTAAATAGTTCTTCAACAACAAAAATAGATAAAAATTTTGTTGAAAATTCATTTCTAACATCGATTGATATTTCCTTAGGAACTTTTTTAACAATTACCGAAAATTTTTGTTAGAATGTTCCAACTATAGCTCTTGTAGGTAAAGTAGTTTGAATTTACGAGCATAATAAGAAAAAGAAAGAAGAAAAATTCAAACTTTTTTGCTCTTTTCGCGTTGGAAACAAATTTTCCAAAAGTAAGCTCCTGTTGTTTTGCTTGAATGTTTAAACGGCATAACGATAGTGCTAGTCCAGTGAACAACAGACCATACAAAGACATTTACACGTATTTGTAAATGATCTGCTTTTTAACGAATTTAAGAAAGAAAAATAAAACAAAACATTAAAAATGGTATTGATGTCGTTCACTAAAAGCTTATAAAGATGGAGTCAAAAACAATAAATAACATCTCGCATGAGCTTACTTGTGTTGATTGTAATGGAAAAGATCTAACATACCGAAATAAAAGCTGTGTTTAGGGATGAGCGGTAACGGTAAAAGATTTTTTTATCGAACTTTACCGCGGTAAAATTTTGAGATTTTTACCGGTTTGAATTTACCACGGTAAAAACCTGAAGTTGTTACCGAAGCGTCGGTAACGATAACAAGTTTTTACCGTTACCGCTCATCCCTAGCTGTGTTTGATATATCATCACCTCTGCTTGTGAACATGTCACTTAGTATAATATCTATTAAACTACGAATTACAATAAAATTTCTTTCCTAAAAGTGTATCTAGCACAAGAAATTTGAAAATTAAATTTCCTATTGCCATATAGCAAAAAACTAGCATTGTTAAGTTACACCTTCGCCGATTTTTTTAAATAAAGAACTGCTGCGAGTCTAACGTAGCGACTGGACTTGGTCCAAATGAATTTGAGTTTGAACTGCGCTGGTACCTTCTACTGCTCTCGATTCTGTGCTCGATGAAGTGGAATTGTTGCTTATTTTCTTCTATTTTTTGACTTTTAGACTTACTCATTGAATCACACAACGTAAATGGCAACTGCTTCTTTCGCCACCATGGAAGCAGATATGGATCGAGATGATATTTCAATAATATCATCAACGTCAACAAGAACCACAACATCCATAGCATTATCAGTCCCACCACAACCATTATCGTCATCGTCACTACCACCAAACGCGTCTTCTGCTACAGTAAAAAAAATCACTGAGTATTTAGAACTGGAATGCAACGACAAGAGAGAAGAAATTATTTCAGATTTATTGATAAATGGTCGTCAAACACTTTACAAATATCAAGGAGATTTAATTCCTGAAGTTTTGCAGCAGGAAGATGATTATCTAGCACAAAATAATAGTCCATTATTAAAACTACTTAAACAACACGCCATTGAAACATGGGAAACATTGTTATCAAAACAACCAATAATTATGTCATTTATTAATGATGTAAAAAATCAAAATCCCGAACATTTCGATAATGTACTGACACGGATATCAGAATATGGTACAACGTACACAAGATCATCATCCATTTTATCTGTTGTAGTACAATTGTTATCCGAAAGTATTGATGATGAATGTTTGATGAAAACAAATGATTTTAATGAATTATGGAATACAATTACCATTAAGGGTGTTAAAAGTATGATTAGATTTGCTCAGCATATTCCTGAAGAAGAATTAGAAGCACAAATTAATAATAAAACGTCACCATTATATTTATCATTACGAATGTACTATGACGATGAAATAAAAAAGCTATTTAGTAAATGCAAAATTCCCAATAGACAGAATACATTATACGATTTAGCAATTGATGCCATTACAGAAAAAGGTTGGATAGAAGGTATTGAATCGATTAGAAAGAAAGTAACTGGAACACATTACAATATGGTATATAAAGAAATCTTGAAAATATTAGAACATGCTTCAGACTTCGAAAACCGTCAGTCATCAAATATTGAAAATTCAGGTAAATTTTTGGTTATACAGTAGTTAACTCGGTAAGTATCTCATGTGTGTAGACGGCAGGTACTAGTGACATTAAAGCAGCACTGATTTAAAAGCTGTTCACGGTCTTGAAGAGCTCAGAATTACGAAGAATTGGCATCTTTCGAGAAAAAAATATATTTAAAAACAGAACTTTAATAAAGTATCCTAGTCAATAGATCATAGAATTATATAAAGCATTTGAAACTACTATTAACGATCAGACTATAGTATCTTTCATCTCTGACTGATTTTATTCTATTCAATTGTCTAGATAAGCAAAAATCGTGTGACGTCGGTGATGTCTCCGTACCAAGCACAATAACTTCCTCAACTATTCAGTTGTCAGAGGCAACAATTATAGGTGATCCTTCGACCTTACCAAATACAATCTCATCTTCAATGACGGCACCTGCTGCTACTCCTGGAAATGCTTCTTCAACTACGACGACCACAGTACTTCCGGAATTAGATATCAAACGTAACCGCGAGATTGAAATCATTCTAAATTGTATTACCCCAAATCGCTATCAATTAAAACATCTCATGGAAGCTGGTGAATTAAAATATATTGATAAAATTTTAAGTGAAATAACGCACGATATCATTAATCAGTTTTACAAGAAGCAAACAACTTTTCCACAATTTATTGACGAATGTTTAACTCCAGTAATGTTTCTACTGAAGAGACAACAAAATTTAGATGATTTTATGTCAACGTTCTCGTTTATTTACGAAAAAATGAAATGTGGAATAACCTTATCATCTGAAGAACAAATATCCAGTTTAAGTTTACGTGCTTTTTTACATATACTATTGATGAATAGCGATACGTTCTTACGCCGCATTATCATCTCCTTAATTAGTAAACGTAATCCAGTTCCATTCGTTGAACCAAATGTTGAAAATTGGAATGGTCATGTTAAACATGAGTTTATGCCAGCAATCGTACACGTTTGGAACTATACACGTCCTACGATTTTGTCTTTTGGAATAGGTCCGTCACGAGGTAAATCATCATTATTAAATGTCTTATTTCAATGTACATTTGAACAAAATGTTGATAGTGCTTATTTCGATCAAGCAATTGATATTGATTTTGGCTATTCATTTATACCTGAACGACCATTAAATATAGCAGATTGTCATGGTCAAATATCGAAGAATTTATTGAAAAAAGTTTGTTCACTCTTCGATGGATTTTTTGTACATATTAATCAAACTTATTTTGAACAACATCCAAAACTTGTAGCAGAAATTCTAGAAATCTTGCCACATTACAAATTTCAGTTAATTTTTATACGTGATGTAACTACAAACTTCAATAAACAGCAATGTCAAATGTCAATTGAATCGTTGATGGAAGAGACTTCACCGTCATACAAGGCACAAATATATCCATTGGTAAATATGTCAGATACAAATAATCGTGAAATACAGTTTAAAATAAAAGGTTTACGTGAATATTTGCTTAAAGCTGTACAAGCTAACGTAGATACCATTATTGACAAAGAACAGCTCTTACCTAATTTATATAAGTTGCTAACGCCGGAATATGTGAGATATCTAAAACAAACGAATCAAATAGTTAAACCATTAAAACAGCGTTTGTTAGAAAAAGACTTAGATTCTCAAAATCAAAATAATTTTCCATTATATTTAACATTCGTTGAATTATGTAAATTACGACAACAACTGAAACGCAACGATTTCTATGGTGTTGATAGTGAACGTCCATTTAATATCAATGTTGAGATATTTAAATTACAAAGTGAATTAACTCCCGATGGAAAACAAAATCGTGATTGTGGCTCTGTATTTAAAATCTTTATTGAATTACTAAGAACAGAAAATATGTTGATGACACTCAACATTTTAGCATCTGAATTGAAACAAGAACTGCTAAATCAAGGTCCCGATAAACTTGCTGGAACATTATCGGTTGAAGATGCCTTTCTTTCGCTAGAAGTTCTATGGCGAAATTGTATAATATCTTATGATCATACATCATGTGATAATCAACAGCTTATTTTAAATTCCTATACCGAATTCATTAAAAATGGTTTTCCGTTTGAAATAATTGACGGTGATAATTTTCACTGTCAACATACATTTTTAACTAATATAATGAAACAGTTCGAAAGACAACGTATTTTAGTTATTAGTATTATTGGCCCACAAAATAGTGGTAAAAGTACTTTGCTGAACTACATGTTTGGAACACTGTTTGATGTACGAGAAGGTCGTTGTACTCGTGGTATCTATGGATCATTGGTTAAATCAAATATCAGTGGAATTGATTATTTGCTTCTCATTGACACTGAAGGGCTTTTATCAATTGAAAAAGCGGATAAAGAATATGATCGACGTTTAGTTCTGTTCTGTTTAGCTGTTTCACATTTAGTGGTAGTCAATATGTTAGGGGACATTAATGAAGTGCTCAAAGATATGTTAACACTTTGTGCTGATTCATTAAAACAGTTGAATGTAAATAGGATTCCACAGCCAATAATACATTTTATTCTCAATCAAAAAGCTGATCCAAATATGAAAAATCATATTGAGGCAATTAACAAAATTATTTCCGATTTGAAAGATAAAGAATTAGGTGAAGTAATTAATATTAGTACGGAAACATTTCATACATTACCGTCAGCATTCAAAAAGGAACGAATATCAAATGATTCAAATAGTCCATGTTTTCTTCGTACGGAACCAGATTTTATTGAACAGACGCAAAAATTAGTTAGCAAAGTTACAAATTCGGCCAAATCTGTCTATGATCGTGCTGGTGATTCCAACTTTAATTTACCGTGAGTAGCAGAAAGATTTAACCAGTTTCAAAAACCGCTTTTGCAGTGCATGCAAACTCTTTCTAGTCTAAAATTTAGATTTATTCAGAACTCACACCTGGTCTTTAAATCACTTTTAGAGCGTACCGTTAGTTTGCTGCCACTTCTTGGTCTCTGTAGTTACGGTCCGATCAAAACTCTTTTTGCTCTGAGATTTTTACTGAATGTGAGGAAAATTCGACTAACATTTTAGCACTGCTAGATCGAACGCAAAGCCACGGTTCCACTAAAATTAAGACTAGGCAACCCATAACTGAACAATCTTTCAGTGCAATCAATAAACTGAATTAATTCTCCGCTATATTCATTCGCAAAATGGATTAGTTATGTGTACCGCAGGATTGAATACTTAGTCTGTAAAATATTCCATCTATGATAGTTTCTTTTTTAGACAATGGCTTGCAACTTCTGTCACCATATTTGATACCCTTCAAAAATTCCCAGATCTAACATATTTCAAAGATCTCAACGAAAGACGTCAAGATAATAAGATACGTTTTCAGATTGGTGAAATGATGTCACAGAAGTTATCAGCAATCAAGCGACAAGAAATGATAAATCAAAGTTGTGATAAAAATGAGCAGGCTATACGTAGCATATTTGAAGCCGAATTTCAGTCACATCAGGATATATTTCTAGAGCGTTTGGAAAATATTTTTATTTTAGAAAACGCTTCTGATCGTATAAGAAGTCGTAGTCGACAGTTTTTGGAACGGCAGATTACAGAAACCATGCGTGCCTGGATCACATCTACAATTGAAGCAAATGACCGAAAACAAATGGAACTACTTGTTCGTGATGGTGCAGTTGATTTAAGAAAATTGATTGATACAATAATAAACAGTGGACGAACAATGACGAAAGATGAAGCAATAACTGAATTTGAAGAAATGTGGAAAAGAAAATTAGCATATATTAAAAATAACTTCAATCCAGAAGAACGATTGAAACAAGCAATTAAATTTGTTTATAGCAATTATAATATTTTCGAAAAGGATATGTTACCATCGCATGATAACATTATAGGTTTTATGTCCCACATTAAACAATGGATAAAAGTAAAACCTATGGAAGAGTTAGTTAACCAGCTGCATCTGATGTTTCTCGACACAGTTAATACACAAAAACAGAATGCAGTACTACGACTCACAACAAAACCTACGTCTCTCACAATTCCCACAATTCAAAATTTTACGCATCTTAGTAAACAATTATTATTGGATCATCTTTATGGCTCTCAATTAGCAACTTCACACGAAGGTAAGTTAACGAACGACAAAAGTGCTCGCTGTCAGTTAAATCGTGAAAATAGATAATTTGTAGCCCGAAATAAAATTCTAATATCTGCACTTAACCAAAAGGGTTTCCAAAATTTATTATGCTTTCACTTAGTTTTTGAGCAAGTTTTATGTCTTCATCACTAACAGTTTTCACATTTGGCCCAATTTTATATGAGCTGTATAAAAGAAGTATCAAGCCTCGATCTCAAACATTTTTTAGAACTTTGCTGTTTATGAGTTGAATATGTCTGGTATATATAAAAATCCAACATATAAAAGCCTTTTCTTTTTTCAATTTAGATACTTCTGCCGCAATTTCAACCGATAAGCCTGATAGTAAACATGGATTTCTACAGAAGGCAATACAATTTGTGGTAGGTGAAGGGAAATCGAAATCAAAAGAGACTAGATCAACAGCTATGCCACCGCCGAAGCCGTTAGCAGACCAGATTAAGACCGAATTTCGGGGTAAAATCTTATGGGAACTATCATATCCGATAAATCCATCAAATATCTTGAATATACCGAAAATTTTTGAGAGCATAATGAAGAAAATAGTAGAAATTGTTACAGGAAGTAGTAATGGTCAAAGTCAACAAGGGGAGAATTCCGCCACAAACAGTGGAACTGGTCAACGTCCGATTGAGATTGACATTATACAAATAATCGTAGGCCTAATTAAAGCATTAATACATGATTATAATCTTGAATTAGTTAATTTCGATATATCGCTGTCAAGAAATCTAATAGAAGCAATACATTCACTTGTGTTGGTGTTTTTAACAATTTTATATTATGGTGAACAAGAACATCATTTCGATCAACAACTTGAAACATTAGATAAACAGAAGCCGTCATTGTTAAATTACTTTATTAGTATGGTTGTACCGGATGCCTCATGTGACAAAGAAGGCGGTGAAATATTTGTTGATCAAATTCTCACCCGTATTGAACGTGTATTAACAGATAAAGCACATATGATTATTGGAAATCATGTTCAGTCACAAAAAAAATTAAATAGAAAAGAATTGCAAGTGATATGTGATGGAAAATTACAATCGGCTAATATGCATTGGATGTTAAAATATATTGAAGAGCCAACTGACTTCATTGTTGAAGAATTTCAACTACGCTGGAATGATGTTGAAAAATTAATCGAACAAGAAATACAAACTGAAAAAAATCAACAGAAGTTAATAATTTTGAATTTCTTTCAGGTAATTAAAACAATGTCTGGTGCATTGATGGGCGAAGGCAGTGCGGCACAATTTATTGATGAATTATTCACATCATCCGGTGGTACAGCGGCTGAAAATTTAAAAAATAAAGGTCAATGTATGGTATTATTATTATATACATATTTAAAAAATGAATCAATCCAATCCAATAAGTCATTTACAGTATTCGATCAAACTTATACTATAACTATGAAAGGTGTGAATTATTTTCAAAAATTACCGAAACCTGATACAGCATTAACTAAGCTAACTGATTTAATGAGTAAATCAACCTCCACAGTTGCCTACATCACCACTACTACAACAACTACACAAAATCAAATGCCCGTGACATCAATTAAAAATTTTGAATCATTTTTGAAAAGTATATTAGCAGTAGAAGATAAATTAGTTAAAAAATATGATGATATATCAACTTCGTTTAAACATTATGATAAAGATAAATCTTATATGAAATTGTTGGACAAAGCACGCGGATGTACTGCAAAATGTAAGTTCCTTTAACAAAACCGACTAAAAAATGATTAGTCTGAACAGTGGTTAAACTTATCTGTTATAGGTCCATGCTGTCTACGTCCCTGTGATGCTGATCATAGTTCAGAAAAATTAAGCACTTCAGGTATGTACATGATTTCTCCAGTTTACCGTCATCTAACTGATGAATAAGAGAATTCTCGTCGGCTGGCGTACAATCTCAGCAACAAAGAAACGAAATCGCACAGTGATAAGTTTCAAAAGCTTCTAACTGATTTTAGGCGTTTAAAAAAGCATTAGGACCTGCGTAAAAAAAGTGTTTTGAAAAACTCGGATACTTTACATTTTTATAAGGAATGAAGATCTAAAACACTACACGTTACACTGATATTACTTTAATCCACAACCTATCTAGCACATTTCTCAGAAACTTACTCTTAACTTTACTTTGTAGCCATAGGTGATGATGATAATAAACACAGTTGCAGTACTGGTCACCAGCTACGTGCATTCTCGGGTATTAAAATAGAAGTTTTAAATGAAGCAAGTCTATATCAATGTACTGAAATTAATAATCATGATCATATAGTAGTCAAAGGTGTCAGAAAAACATGGAATGAAATGAAATTAGATTATAAACAATGGGATTTTGATGTTACAAATACCCTTGAAGAATTGACAAGTTTAAAAAGTAAATTCCTATTTGTATGGCAAAAAGTAGGCCATAAATTTTGTGAAAGATTTGACATGAAATATGTTACACATAATACACAACGACCTGAAGCTGAATCCTATCATTATATATTACTATTAGATAATTCAGCTTCTATGGCTGGTGATAGATGGAAAAATTTAGTTGCCGGTGTTAATGTATTAATTAAAGCCCGAATGTTAAATGGTACAAATGATCGTGTGACAATTATTACATTTGATCATCGGGCTACATTTTTTTGTGCTAATCAAACAATGAAAGATATTGATATAACAAAAATTGTATTTACGGGAGGTGCGACTAATTTTAGTCCAGCATTTCAGTTAGTAATTGATACATTACAAAGTGCGGCCAGACAAAATACTTCTGGTGCTGCTACTGACGCTGATGCTGCTACTGACGCTGATGCTGCTACTGACGCTGATGCTGCTACAGCAACAACACCAAATTTGAAGCATATTATTGTATTGATGAGTGATGGTGAAGCACCTTATCCAAGTACTGAACTTAATCGTTTAGTAAAATTGAACGAACAAATAAAAGAATTTTGGACAGTAGCATTAGGTGAAGTTGAAATGCCACTGTTAGAACAAATAACTACAAAAATGGATGGTTTTTATAAACAATTAAAAAATTCTAATGAATTAATTCAAGTTTATGCAGAAATTGCTCAAGGTTGAAAGCCAGCGATTTATTCAAGAACTTTTAATTTGTCTACCACTAATACTTTTCATTTTTGCATGTTTTAGTTTAAAATATATTTAACTTATGCTTTTTTTCTTAAGATCAGGGTTTGACGAGCCTCAAGACCTTATATTGAATGAACCGGATTTTCTAATTTTAGACTTTGAAGTGCATCGGAAGATTTATATTTAAAAGTATATTTAAAAAAGGAACTACAAATGAAAAAACGTTTCAATAAGTCTCAATAAGTCATGCATTTACTATTTCAGACGAACAAGTGTCTGGGAAATCCACAAGAAATTTTATGTGGAAGTAATAACTTACAGCAAAATGAAACAAGGAACTTGAAACTGGCTTGTATAAAAAGCTGTTAAGAATCACAGTTATTTCTAGGGTAATAATTTAACATGTGGGAGAAATTTTTTCAATTGTTCTTCATCACAATGTGTTTTTAGGTCTGGTAATTGAAATATTTTAATTTTTAAAAACAATTTTCACGTAATATTTCATCTGTAAAATGATTTGTTACTTGCACAAGATGTTCATAGTTTATATATAAATAACGTAGATTCGGCATCATTCGTAATAAACATTCAACTTCAAATACACTAATATTTGAAGAAAAATATTGCAGTTCAAGCGCGCGAATATGGTTTAATGTAAAACCCTCACTCAGCTGTTGTTCAATGATACGTCTCCTGTTCAAAACAATGCATATTGAAATATTCCCTTGACTGAAAGTAAAGGGTCTCCAAAAACTCAATGGTGGTTTTTGGGCTCTTAGACCTTACTTGTTCTTGTCGTGCTTGTTGACTTTGGTATAGCCAGTGGTTATGCTCGTTGTGTTTGACGTGCCAGCCTTGCTCGTGTCGGGACTGGTAGTGGCGGTGTTGGCGAGGGTGAAGGGAGTGGTTGACATTCGTGATGGACATATTTGTGTAATGCTAATGCTAATGGGTAACAAACCATTTGCTGATCTGATGATCTCGCCTACGAAAGATCCATCAGATACACTATCTGCAGGCAGGGTTTTGGACCTGATCTTTTGCCGCTAGATTTCCCCCAGTGTCTTCTATGAACTTGCGAAAACCGCACCTCTTTATCATTTGTGTTTCAAAAGTTATTTTGAAAAGAGTGAAAGTTTTGAAATGGACAATAGTAGCATTGCTTGTCGAAATAAACAGACAAGTAAGAGAGAAAGAAAGAGAAAATGTGTTGCTTGTAACTGATCAGCATGTTAATAGAACAGATAAAGGGTTACAAGTGCATTGATTGTAATATCTTAACCATGAAAAGCTCTCCTATTTTTTCAGTGATGACTCTAATGAGTAGAAAGACAAAATAATTTGTCCAAATAATAATAACTGCTCCATCAGTTTTCTTATTTTCTATTATCAGTTTGAGGTTCCATATAGAACTCTTCCTTTAGAAAAGATATATTTTTTGCACGAAACCGTTTGTAATGTGGCACACAAAACATTGGAAGCTACACAACCTTGTTGGTTTCGGGAACAAACTACGAAACTTTTTTCAGGTTTGACACTTAATACGAAACCATTCTTTTCAGAGTGTTGTAAGTGCAAAAAAAGATTATGGTATCTTATCGGATTTTCGAAGTTATTTTTGCATTCAATAACTTTTGTTCGTTCGACCCTTTATTCTAGATTTTTATGCGATATAGGGAATCATATATTCATTCAGAATCTATTGTCAGATCTTAATAGGAACGCTTTCCCGCTGTTCTACAACACTTTTTCTAGAAATACAGAAACAAATGGGACTCATCAAGAAATAACTATGGACCAAAGCCGTTTGCCAATAGTTAGCATAGGCGTTCAGGATATATACAGATAGATACGAACGAACATAATTCTACATCTGTGTGGCTATAAGGGACGGTTGGACATATGATACCATTACTTGAAAAACCCGAAATAACGTGCAAGTTTTTGACCCACAAATCACAATGATTTCTGAATGGCAAAGGAGACCAAAAGGAAAAAATGTAATTCTGTCAATATGATAAACTAAATGTTATCAGCTGCTCGAATGAATGCTGAGTCTTGTTTTTGGAGGTTTCTTTTCAACCATTATTGAACAGTCTTTTTTTTTGTGTGTGGTTTTATCGATGCTTAACTATGAAAAAGAATCCGATAAAAAAACAGAATTAGACAACCCAATCATTGCCAATATATTACATTGTCGAATTGTTTGTTCTTGACATATATTTTGATTTTCTTCTTCGTAATATTACCCAGAAGAAAACTGCCTTGCTAGAAAGAAGGCAAAAAATTAAGAACAATAATATCTTTTTGATAAAATCGATTATTTATTGTCCTATGAAATAAGGCTAACAAAGTTAAAAGTATTACTCTGAACATCTGAACTCTATAATATTAACCTTAAGCGGTGTGGCCAAAAAAGGTAGAACATGCTGTAAAATTCACCGTAGTACTGATGAACTTGCATGGATCAAACTCGGATGGATTTGCCCTTTTGTTTTTCAGAAAAATCGTTTATATATTGAAATCATGAAACTGACGTTCCGAATTGAACAATTAGTCAGCTAAGCACCGAATGGCCTTAAATTTAATATGACAGTTGCTCAACTAGTAACATACAATACGTTAGAAGGTCAAACGAATGCCATGATGGCGGAATTATATAATCGTATGCAACTTGATCGTGATATTTCAAGGATAACACGTATAGAATTTTTTTTTCTTCATACTCTTTCATTTGTTCATTATCTTCGTCATGTTTGTGTTTTCGTTTGCATTATTAAAGCTGGTCGTTGCTATTCTTGTACTAATAAATCTATTCAAGCAAGTACACTTCATCTCGAATCTGCATGGATATATAGCGATGCAGACGACAGGAAAAATAATATGACAAGAAGAAAGAAAGAAAGGAAAACATTAAATGCATAAAATAAAAGAAATTGCAACTATATCTGAAACCAGATAGACTGTGCTGTGCTGCAAGAAAAATAGTCTCATCAGTTTTAAACTTGAAGAATTCCAAAGTTTTCCTTGACGAAATATGTTAGATCTCAAAAACGAATAGGAAAATTGTTTGACAGACTTTAAAAATAGCTTAAAGGAAAATGATCACTTTTTGTTCTTGTACAAAAATGGAATATCATTGCATTCAATATTTGAACAAAGAAAAGACTTATTGAAAGGATCAAATAATGTGTTTAGATGGTATATATATTTTTACATAAGTATACGGCGTAGGGAATAATTTATATGTGATATACATATAATCCTGTGAGGCATCAAATCTATTAGAATCGTCTCTTGTTCGAAAAAAGACACTCAAATTATGACATCGGCCAAGTATTTCGACTATTGACCCATCTGGGCATATTTTTGAAAGACTTATTTATAGCTCATTTTGAAGCCTGAAGAATTCTTTATCTTTCTATGTAAAAAACATCCCGGGTTTGAGCAGAAGCATCAAAGAAGTATTCCTTTAAAGTGTTAGGGTGGATGAAAATCATGATATCTGTCTAGTATTTTGACAACTGTTCTATGTGGGTATATGTTTGAGAAGGTCGTCAATAGGCCGTTTTGAAGCGAGAAAATTTCTCTATCTTGCTATGTATGAGCTTTGGCTAAAGTCTTTGAAATTGTACGAAAAATTTGAGAAACAAATTGAATGACTTTCCTTGTACTAGTGACGAAAACTGGTAAGATATAATTTTTTCAAGGAAATTACCCGTGTAGAAATTTTTCAGTTAACTTCTGCGTTAAACATTAAAATAACGCAGAAAAGAGCGACTTGCACGCAAAATTTTTCAAAAAGATCAACTAACGCAGAATTTTATCGATATTTTTTTGCTACTTTTCGCAAAATTTTGTTTTTGCAAAATATATGACAAATTTATTTATTGCGGATTTTTGCAAGAAACAAAATTTTGCAAAATAATTTAACCAAGTATTTACAAAATTTTGAAGAAAGGTTAACTAATGCAGAATTTTGTGCATAATTTTTTTGTCATTTTTGAAAAATTTTGTTTTTGCAAAAATTTTACCTTTTTATTGTAGATTTTTGCAAGAAACAAAGTTTTGCAAAATTATTCAATCAAATATTTACAAAATTTTGTATTAGCCCAAAATTAGTAAAAGTTTTGCGTTTTTTCGTCAAATAAAATTTTTCTTGAAAACAATGCTGAATTCATTAATAAGGCGCCTATATGTCTGTTTTAGAAGGTAATACGTCATACAAAAATAGTAGGGTACATAAGAGCACTGATTTTCTTTAGTCATTCTGCGGCAAAAGACAGAGACTGCCAACATGTTTTATTAAATAATTTACGGTAGGGCACGTATTTTATAACAAATAGTTTCACCTCTCAAGCAAGCATAACTTTCTAACTTGACTCGACTAATGAGGGAAACCGAAAAAACAGATAACAATTGTTGTTTTCAAAAAACCAAATCTTCTCAACTATCTTATGTGATTGAATGACAGTTGTTTCATCGAGAAGTTTTCCAAAGAAAACATTTTTACATTTGACAATGTTTTCATTTACAGTTGTTTTTACTTGATCGGTTAAATTTACTCGTTGAATTTGAATAAAACTTTGATTGCTTTTGATTGTTTGTATTATACGAATAATAAATCCGACAAATAATTCATTATTTGATAGATATAAAATACATGTATCATTAAACGTTTTCTCCGCACCATAATTCATTGTAGAATAATGAATGAAATTGATTGTTATCTTATCAAATATTTGAAATTGTTCATCATTGATCGAAGCAACTAAATAACGTTTTTGATCATCGTTTAAATGAAGTTTCGTTTTACTCTGAACATGTTCAGTTTGATAATTTTCTTCATTTTCAATCAGATGAATATATTTTCGTGACACTTGAAGATAATTGACAAATTGTTTATAGTGTTTATTTTCAAAATTTTCAGTTTCCATCGACGATAACTTAATTAAAGTTAATTTATTTATGATTTCTTGTGCATGGTGTCGCGTAGAGTTAATGGAGGATGTTATCATTCTTAAAAAACAGAAAAAAAATAAACAAACAATCAGGCTTTTGTACAAAGAATTGTTCTTCCTATTACCTAAGACTGATTCGAAATTAAATGTTGAATACTGACACAAACTAGAAAACAGTCCAATTGATTGTGCTATGTGGCTTACACTGTGAACCACTTGTACATTTTGTCTATTGTTATATAATTTTGGAAATAATTGTAAAAATTCAAAAAATAATGATTTTATAATCTGTACATCTGTTCGATCAACTTCAGTCGATTCTGCTAAATGTAAGCCGATTACCAATAGCAGAAAATGATCATAATATCGTTTTTTTAGAAAACTTTTAAGTGCATAAAATCCAATTGAAATAATATTTCTAATTTCATTCGCTTTATATCAATGGAGTTTTAGCAAGGACCTTGGCACACGTGTAGAATTAATTTGAAATTTATAATAAGCCAACAAACTGTCAATATCATTAATATGTAAATAAACTGACCATTCTTCGTGTTTATATTTGGCTAATAACCAAAGATTTAGTAATATCCTCTACAAGATGATAAAAACAGCTGAATACTGTTTGTGATGATCATCAGTCGTAGGGTAAGCCAAAGAGCAGGAACACCAATTAAATAGTTGACGCCCCTAACATTATTGTCCAAAGTAATCCATCTAACAAAAAAACAAAGAATAATCTATAATCTATACTCACCCCCACTCTCTATACACATTGTGTAACGAATCAAATAAAAACCTCATTCCCAGAGGCGGCGGAGCCCATGAGACCCGTGAGGCTCGAGCCTCACCTGGTTTCTACCAATTGAGGCTCAGCCTCACTTGATTTTGGACTGAACACTCTGTTAAATGTTGTCAATATATCGGATCTGATTAAATTCATCGTTGAGTAAAGAATAGTTTGAGCAGATAGATGGAGATAGATAGATAAAATTCTTTTAACAAATTGTTGTTTTTCTATAGATCGTGGAAAGAAAGAAATAGAACAGAAAATGACATCAACTATACCAGCTGGATTATGAGTCATAATTCAGTTAGTTCTTATATTGTGCTGGTCGCGTTGATAAAGTTCGACTGGAGAAGAAAAAAATACTATGAGCCTCACCTAGTTTCATGACGCTCCACCGCCTCTGCTCATTCCAACATCGAAATATTTTAAATTTCGAAAATGGCATGGTCCTAGCCACCCTTCCCGTTGATTAAGCTCAGCTTCTTGTTGTTTTTTACTTTTGATATGGTTTTTTCTTTGTTCTTGTTCTTCAATAGCTAACATACATTTATCATATGTTGTGTTTGTTCTAACGGTCGGTTGTGGTTTATTTGCTGGTGGAAGCGGATATATACGTACAGTTCCATTTCCATTTGCTGTCCATTTCACTTCTCCAAAAGCAATATATCATAGTTTTGCTTATTTGATTTAAAACATCTTGTTCATTCTCCAAGTCTATTCGTTTCTACGGCAGAGCAAAGAGGAGAAAGAAAGTTTCGCTTTACCTCTTATTGAACAATTACCGCACCCAAAAAACCCGTTATGTTCATTCAAATTTTGTAATAGACTTTGTGCTGGTTTATCACAACAACCAGCAATAACAAAACATTTTAGTTCCATTTGTCTTCCATCATTAGCCCAGACGAAATAGTTCATGCCTTGTTCCAGTTCACAAAGATCTTCAATTAATAACAAAACAATCGTTTCCATTTGTTTTTTTTTTGGCTTATTTGGGCCAGGCCAAATTCCTCCAGTAATAATATTCTCTATTTTATATCGTCTTGCTCGTTTAATTTCATTAATAGCCATGGAGAATATCCATACCGATGTACCCGAACTGTTTGACATTGATATACCATCATAGTTTAACAATAATGATAAGAATGGTTTACCATTTTGTTCTGTAACGATTTCTTGATAGTTTGAGCCATGTTTGATGTCCGTCATTATGTTTCCAGTTATCGTTGTTAATGTTGGAAATTCAACAAATTGTTCACGTACAAGTATATCGGATATTTGTTGTTTTAAGAGAAATTTTATAAATGTTGGGGGAGCTTCGTCGAATTCTTGTTTTCGATCACATTTCGTATTATCACATTTTGTCTTTGTTGAACAAACAGTAGAGCAATTTGGACGTAAAACAAGGGTGGAGCATGTACTTGTTGTTTTTCGAATGGACTTGTTTTCTAATAGTCGTGTAATGTGCTTAAAATTCCGTGGACAATTCTTAACCCCAACTAATCGCATAAGTTTACACAAGAAGTCATCTACGGCAGTATTACTAATTTTGTGACGCGCCTGATATATGACTATCATCGGTGCTAATTCTATCGTCTCGTTTTTAATTGGTTTCGATCTGAAAAGTATCAAAAGAAAAGAGAGCTTTACACGTTTAAGATCATCCCAGTTTTCTCAGAAGCATGGCTGCCTAAGAAACATTTAATTCAGACTACTAAGTGCAATGCCCTTCGGTGATTCTAAGTTTTCTGATAACCTGATATGCCGTTTCTTACTTTTGTTTTTTATCATAATAAATAGTTTAAACCAAACCAAAGAAAGCTTTAAGCTCACTTTCAAAACCAAAGTGTTGTTTAGCGCCATCATATTCATTTTCAGTGGAATCTTCTGTCGAACTAACATTAAATATAAAAGAAGAAATGAAGAAAACACAGATCTCATGCAGAAACGCTGTTTAAAACCGACTTACAGTTCAAATTGCACTTCTAACGGCGTTGTAACAGTAGGCACTATTGTATTCGCTGTTGAACAACTTGTTATTATATTTTCTATTATTCGTGAGATAAGACTGCAATTTTAAATTTGCCTCTTGATCTTTTCTTCGCCTCTATTTCTCCATTCGGCTCACAGTTTTACTCTTAATCATTTCTTGGCGTCTGTACCTCAAATGGAGAGAAAAACAGTGTGATCGTACACATTTCTTTCAAAACGAACTGATAAAAAAACAAAAAGCTATAAAAACGATTCCGAATATGTCTTACGGCTGCGTGATGCCAATCACTGTCTCCCTGCGCTTAAGCTGCTAAGATCTTGAGTTATTAAATGTACATGTTTCACTCTGTTATATAGGAAAGAATCAACTTACGCATAGCTGACACCTTTAAATTTTTTATTTCTGCTTTTAACTTTTTGATTCTTTTTCTCATTTTGATAATTTTCTTTTGTAGAGTATCATTACTAACTCCCAAAATAATACGAGAATGCGTGAATCCAGCTTGTTGTTGGTCTTTATGTTCTATCTGAGAATGTTAATTTGTTCGTATTTCCTGTGTTTCATTCAATTTAAAGCCTGAAATATCAGAACATGTATCTTTGAACTAGAAGGTAATTATAATGGTTAATTAATGGTATCCGCACAAAGAAATACAAAGATATTATAACAGAGAGCTTGCTAAGGTCAAGTATTCATGCGTCCTTTATTACTTGTTACTGATTCGGTTTGCGTTTCTTCATTTTTATTATTATTTTTAATCATTCTGATGAGTTGTTGCTCTACTTGTCCGATTGAAAAAGTATGCTCTTTGGTGACATCAGTCTTTTCATTCATTACTATTTGTTTTAAATATTTTTCATAATGTTCACGTGTACCTAAAAGAAGGGAGACAAAATGATTAATGTACGGAAGTGAAGCGCTGTTTCGGACAATCTAGATAACGCAAGAATTCAAAGCTAACGCTGACCGACTGTCATCACATTTCCTTTATGTGCTTTTTTCCTTTCGGCAGGATTCTTTTTGAATGAACCAATCGTTCCTTGACTGATACGTTGTTTTGTTGAATTCGAAAACCAATTTGATGGTATCATCAAATAACCCGAGTTGCTCCTATAGGAGCAATTTTTGAAAGTCAGAAGTATCTGGAAGTAAAACAGGAGGCATTTGCGATCATTTTCACTCAAAATCATATTGCGCCATTTTCCAGCAGAAACCGATACCCGTCCTTTGCAGTCGAATATATATCACAATTATCTTTTTTTAAAAATATTGGATATCTATTTGATTCAGCCACCACCTTTATGACGTATTCGATCGAATCGATCAGTTACAGTGTCACAAAGACAAGGAACTTCATTATTAGCTTATGCATTTTTCTGTTTATTTCCCTATAGTTCTGATCATGAAAAAGAAAGAAATATGAAGACTTTCCAAATCCAAATTTTAACAGATAAAAATACGTGTATCTGTTATTTTCAACTCTATAATATAATGCCAATTTGAAGATTATATTAGATTGGACCACCGCAAAAAATTCAAAAACTAACGAAGGAACCTCTCGAGGTGATTAAAAGCTTTTCGACTCAGACTATTTTCATCATGTAGGGAATAGTCAGCAGTGAAAAATCCCAAATTGGTTTGGGCCCATGCGCCTTTTTGACGAAGATATGAGTTAAT